TCTGACATAAGAATGTCCCAGTTCAAGTATTCAAGATTCCTATGAATTAATTTTTAAAGTTTATCGAAGGATAATTGACAATTTTTCATTCATCCATCATTCAACAGATACTATGTTGAGCCTCTTCTATACATCTATTCATCTAGTCTTTTATTTTCAATAGACTATTTCTTTAAAAAGTATGATTGTGATTTAATTTTTGATATTTTTGAAAGGCCTGTTAAATAGATGAAAAAATAAAAGTGAGAACCTAGATCCCATTTTTCTGTGGGGAAAAAGGTTATCAGAGATATAAGTATTTATAACTAATCAGGAATAATTTTTTATTTGGAATTCTTAAAGACAGAATGGAATGCTGAGATTTCAAGCTATAAGACATATTTTGGTCTTAGGTAAGGGTGGGTGGGGGAACATTTCTGTACATCTTATTGTTTAGCTTTCACATATGCTGTGTCTCATGTAGTACATCCTGAGGAGCCAGAGACAGGAAAACAATAAGAGAACAAAGAACTTCCTCACAGATACATCTCTACACATCCAGTCCTGGGATTGAATATTCCTTACTCTTCTGCTCTGAGGAAGGGTAATTGAGTTGATTAGGTAATTTGTATAAAGTGGTCTCTATCAAACAATCTCATAATAGGGCTACTTAGCTGCTTCTAAACTGCATAAATTACAATTTAAAATGTGTTGCACAGAGGGAAACATTACTGTGATTCATTTTTCCTTGGTGATGGATAAGCATTACCTAATGCATTTTGAGAGAGCTCACACTTCTGGGTATATGTGTCTATTTTGCAATTTAAATATTTTTTACAACTGGTATTAAAAGGCTACAGTACTCTAATGCCACTGGATGTGTGCGACCCCTACACTTTAGTTAATTATGTGTAATGTTCAGAATACCTGGAAGTTATTTTCATGATGCCTGAATTTTAAAAGATTTAAAGTATATAACTTTGCCAGAGACAATTTCTGATGAACGCATCAAAGCATTCCAATGAAGAAAAAAATATTCCTAAGTTTTATCTAAATTATCTATTTAGACACAAGAGATACACAACTGGGACACACTCAGATGGTTTTCCCAGTTGTTAATATATTGATATACTTCCATATTGGTTGGTGAAGAAATGCTACTCTGAGTCCCATGAGCCTCCATACTTGCCACCCCAATCACTTCTGTCTGTCCTTCAGGACCCCACACACCACTCTTTGACCCAGCAAATAAAGAGCTATTGTCCACCACAGCAGGGTACCTCCAGAACCCTACCCCAACACTGGTAGTGCCTAATGTATAAACAGCTATTAAGTATTTTTAAGAGCTCTCCTACACACAGATGAAATGGAGGAGGCTGGCATGGAAGTTGGGAAATTTAAGTTGGAGCCCTTGTTTAACTTCTTTGTACCTCAGTTTACCCCATTTATGAAATGAGGAGTTGGACAAGATTCTGTCTAATGACCCTTTGAGTTCCATTTTGGGATTCCATAATTTAGAAACATCTGAACATTTTCCATTTTCATTTTGGAGGTTTGGTGTCTTGCAGAGGGAAAAGAATGGCTAAAAGGAGTTAGATAGCTTGTTCTAAAATGCCGGCCAAGCAGTGGAGTTTTTCAGAAAAAAAATGCAGTGGAAACAAAATATGAAACATTGTATAAAACCCCAGTACAACCATGCAGAGAAAACCATTTGCAATTCTGATTCTGAAACCTGAAAAAATTTGTATCGGAGTTGGAAAGTGTTCAGGTAAGGGCAGCTAAAATGACTGGCTAAAAATGACTCTATTTGATGACAGACAATAAAGATTTCTTATTCTGCCTGGAAAGACAAGGTTGAGTAGGAAATAATCAAAGACTATACCTTTTTGAAAGACATGGAGAGAGGAACACCAGGTTATCCATCACAACTTCTAAGCAACTCTTGAAAATTGAAAGTACTAAATTTAGAGGACTCTCCCTTCTGCACCCATGGTGGAGTGTGACGTAGGGGTGATAAGCTTTTAAAACTTGTTACCCTCAAGAAGTATTATGAGCAATTTACATGGATTCAAAGGTGATAGATATTATTTCATAGTGACAAATCCATAACCTATGCAGAAACACTGATGCTCAGGGCACATCAGGGAAGGCAATTCTGACGGGAAGGCAATTCTGACCTAACCCAGTATGGCCACTGTCAAAGATAGAATGTAAGCCCAAATGACACTTACCTTTGCTCCCAGAAGGATATTTCATTTTTATCTTTTTTCCTTTTTAATTTTTCTTTACTATTTTGTAGAATTAATGAATAGTCACTTCCAAAAAGAAAATTCAGACAGTTTAGAAGATTATGAAATAAAAAGTAAAATTTTCCCATCAACATCCTTCTTCCCAGAGATAACTACATGAAAAGGTACTTGCCCATTTCTACTTGTAAAAAAATATGTATATGTATGATAGTATACATACAGTTTACTTAATAAAACATTTTGGGTACCTTTCTATATCAGTACATATAAGTTTACTTAATTCTTTTTAGTAGCTGTGTAATATTCCATTGTGTGATTAATGCACAATTTAACTTACTAACATTTAGGATGTTTCTAGCATTTGCCACATTTGCAATGTTACAATGAATTTTTTGTATCTCACATCTTACACCTTGGTTCATTTGTTTGTTGGGGTGCTTCCATACAATAACTTTCTGGAAAAAGTACTATTGTGTTAAATTATATTACATGATACATTTTGATAAAATGGCCAAATTTGTCTTCCAAGTTAAGCTCCAAC